CTCGGGCTATCTATTCCTACTGTTCACAGATAAGTGACCCCCGTGTAAGTGACCTGCTTCTCCCACTCAAGAACTAATCCAGATGCCTGCCTGCATCCTCTTATTTCCCAGAGGCAGGAGAAGGACCTCCCATTTTGCTAACTACCCACCCAGTTTGAAGATAGCTTGTTTGAAGCAACAGTATTATATTTTGTCCTGGCAGAGATTCTTGATGTACCTGTCAAGGTGTAGGATAGAAGGGGTGGCTGTTGCTTCCCCAGCAGATAGCATGTCCACTGCTCTTGATTGTCCACTCCAGGGGCAGAAGATGTCACAGTGGCAGATGACCTGTGCACCCTTCTGCACTCAGCCACAGCAGTCTGTGGAACTGTGCAGTCGCCTGCCTGCTCCTGCATCGCCCCTCAAACCCACACCATTTTTCTCCCCAGACTACCGCTAACTTCTGGCAGACATGGAAGGAATTTGAGATCCGGCATGGGAATGAGGACACAATTCGGGAGATGCTGCGCATTAAGCGAAGCGTGCAGGCTACCTACAATACCCAGGTCAATTTCATGGCTTCCCAGATGTTGAAGGTTTACAGTAATGCCACAGGCACAGGTAAGCCTTGCTCCCATGCAGTTGGCCTCTGGCAGAGGGAGGTGTTAGCTACTTAAGCCCAGTCCTAACCCTTTCCTGTATCTGCTGCCCCTGCCCCTCCTTGACTCTGTTTCAGTGTCTGACTTGGCGCCTGGCCAGAGTGGCATGGATGACATGAAGCTGTTAGAGCAGCGGGCAGAGCAGCTGGCGGCTGAAGCAGAGAGAGATCAGCCCAGACCTAAGGAGAAGATCCTGTTTGTCAGGTGAGTCTGCTGTAGGTGAAAGATTTTGCTAGTTTCCTCCCTGTGATTCATGCGGTATCTGGGGTCATACTGCAAAATTTCAGGGCTGGGTAAGAACCACGCTGCTGATCGTAAACTTGACAAAATGCTGGCCACTGTTAGCAGGCCGCAAGGAAATCAGGAATGGGTAGAAGAGGAAGGCATAGAGTTGTAGCCAAATCGTCTGCTCTTTAGTGTACAGAGTTGTAGCCAAATTGTCTGCTCTTTAGTGTACGTATTTCTACGGTTGCTTTATTATTGGGAAGAAAACTTGAGTTTAGACAAATATTTTGACATCCTCTGTGGCAAAATTCTACACATATGTGCATGTACTCAAGCAGGAAAAGTAGTCAAATTAGAGTGAAGAATTAGGGTTTGGCTTAGTAGGTGCAGGATGCAGATAAACCAGAGAGTTTAAAATGCCCAGAAAGCTTCAACTCTGGGGTAATATAGAAATGAAATTAACAATCCTGATGTCCAAAGAAAACTGTAATTGGCCTTTGTGTGATTGCAGAAGAGAAATTCCTACTAAATGCTATGATGAGAGAGTGGGAGGGAAATAGGCAACTTAACGGAGTATAGTTTTTTCTTATCTGAGAGGGTACATGGAAAGTGTAGTGCTATCTAATAGGATTGCAAGTGAAGCATTCACAAATCAGGCAGTGGGGAAGCTGATGTGCTTTGATAGCACAGGAGCCCCGTATTTCTCTTTGCTCCATTTTTTTGGCGCATGTGCCCATTCTGACCACACAGATCACTAAACTCGCACTATTGAACTACCATTTGCAGGGCTCCCAACTGTTTTGGCACTGGAGACAGAGTTGGGAATGTCAGAGACTGCTGTAGGCACCACTACAAAATCGCTTCCATGGAGAATGTGCCTAGTCAAATCGTGTCTGGGCCTGTCTACTCAAGGGGTGGCAATGGGGAGAAAGATTTGCATTCTGGGTTGCCCCCCCCTTTTCCATCCACACAATACCTCTCCTCACTTCCCACTACTCCAAGCCACCAGTTTCCCTTCCTTTCCCTCCTCCTCTCCCCCCACTCTAAGCCTCTAGCCTCACTCTTTTTCTCTTTGGCAAGGAGGAGGAGCAGGTGCCCTAATATGTTTACGTACTGTATTAAGTATTATTTTTGAAGGGGGCAGGAAGTGAAGGGCTTTGCAAGTGCCACATTGGAGATCTCTGATCTATCCCACAGGTGCTCAGAGCTGGCATAATTTTGACTGCTGGTTTTCAGTTACAAGTTGAGATGAATGCCTGTGTGAAACTGAATCGACAGCTTAACCTGGTGATGAGGAGGGCAGTCCCTGCACTGGGAAGCACAAGCACTGGCAGCACAAGTGTTGCCTCGGTGCTGCTGGGTTGGGCCTTACCAGTCTCCCCGTTTATTTCTAGGAGCGATGCTTCCCGCAGCGAGCTGGCTGAACTTTCCAAACAGGCCAACCCTGATGAAATCGACATTGATTTGGATGATGGGGATGAGAGTGAGGACAATGAGCCTGACGGTAAGAGACAGTGGCTGCGTGATTTAATTCCGTTTGTCTCTTGCTCTGTGTCAATTTTCCTTTTCTTTCCCTCCAACAGAGGTACAGCTGGAGCAGAAAATCATCCCTTCTGCTGTGTTTGGGGGCCTTAAGGATGACTGAGTGGTCTTGAGCTGGTGAACTGTTTTCAGCTAGTGGAGGAAAGACCATCCCTGCAGATCCCGGTATAACTGTTTTTTGATCATCCAAGCTGATGTTCATTGTAGCAGCTTGCTGCAGCCTGTCACAAACTCCTATTTATAAAATACATTTTTTTCAGTGACTGCTGTCTTTTATCATCATCATCATCATCATCATCATCATCATCATATATATCTTTTTGGGGAAAGGTGGGAAGGTCCATCAGCAGCTGTCCTTGGCCTGAGTAAGCAGGATTACTTGCTACTGGCAGCTCTTGTGCTTCATAATTAGAACCTTCTGCTCAGAGGATAAATGAAAAAAGGATCCTGTGTGGTAGGGTTGATGGAGGAATTTGAAGCCACAGAGGCTTATGCAGAGTTGGCTTGAAACTCTGCTTCATTCATGTAAGTGAAGTTGATGCAAAACATTCATAGTGAAGGTACTGTCTGATTTCAGAGTGATCATTGGTAGTAACTGCTATGGATTAAGTGCTGTATATTTAAAAACTTGTCTTGGACTGGGGAAAAGACAATATGCATGTATGGGAAGAGTGACGGCCCATGACAGATTTCTCTAAAGCAGCCTTCCCTAACCTGGGGTCTTCCAGATGTGGACACGGATAGCTTTTGTAGATGTCATGGGATAGCATCAAGTTGGAGAAGCCAGCTGTTCACAAGCTGCTTAGCTGCTTACCTTTCGCTCAACACTACTAGACACCTGCAAGCATGAAATTAAAACAGATTGATGCATAAGCACTGCTACCCAAGAGCCATGACTGTCAGTTGAAGGGTGCACATAAGTTGCAGTAGCTTTGTTACTGACACAGGACCTACTGCAAATGCTGATGGGACTGTCATTCATGCCATATGTAACAGGAAGGGGTGCATTTGACCTAAGGGGAAGGAATTCTTTCACATTTTGGCTAGAAAATGATGGAGAGGCACCACACATCCTTCAGCCAAGTGGCTGAACACATGAAGCATCTGTTATTTAAACCAGCATGCCATTGTAAGAGGAAGCAATTGCATAGGGCCAGGGCAATGCAGCTAGCCCTCCTTCCAGTACTTGCAGCTTTATATTAGACAAGGAAGAAACGCAGACACCCCCGAAAAAGGGCTTTCGGAACAGGGAGATAAGCTGCTGCTCATTTACAAGAATTGCATTCAATGTCCGCTATGCATCGTGTCGAAGTACAGCTGTTCCCTGCATATTGGTGGTAAGCTTTCTCTTTAGGGTCCAAGATACAAAAGTTTCACCAAGTAACAATCACCAGAAGAGCTCATTTAAGTTACTTTATTCAGCAGTCAGGGGAAAGCCCCCACCTGCTTTTTACACCAACCCAATCCTGCACTAGACTGTACCCCCCAAATACCTACATGACATTCAGTCAGCAACAAGCAACCACAGGAGACCAGGAATAAAATTGGACAAGACAGACTCGGGATAAGGAATCAAAGCTGAACAGCACGGATATCCCCTCATCCTCCTGTTCTTTGCCTTCCAATTCCCCACAAGGGCAGGAGGCAGACATGGGGAAGAAAACAGATGTTTGGACAGCAAGAGGGTAGCAGCACTGGGCCCAGGCCTCCTCTGGTTCTTAAAAGGGACTAAAAGGAGCAAGCTACATTCACTGCCTATTTGGCCTCGAGACCAAAGCTATTGCTCGCAACTGGTAGGGGATGGGGAAGGAAGAAGAGGACGGAGCCCACTTCTTCCTGGAGTCTGCTTTGAAGGGGCAGTTCAGCTCGGGACACAGAGGCCTGCTCTGTGACAACAGCAACGGCAGGTTTCTCAACATTTAAATGGGAGTGGCCCCCTGAAACTTGTTCCATCTCACCAGAGAAACAGGCTCCTTTCTAGTAACCTGCCATCCCAGAAATGCCTGCTAAAATAGTTATCACATGTAACAGCCCTTTCCCATCCCTACACCCAATAGCCCTTGTGCACAAGGGAGTAGCCCAAAACAAAATAAAATTATCAAGAGGAAAAGACATTCAGTGAAAGACTTTGGAGGGGTCATACATACACACACGCCCAGCTCTGCGCTAGCCTACCCCATGCCAGTCTCGTATACAAATCCACCCCACCCCTCTGTTCCAAATGCAATTTGTTCCTTTTTATATACAAATAATTGAAAAATCATTAAATAGCTCCAATATATATATATGTATGTATAGTATGTATAAATATAAACAGGAACACCCAGGGAATGAGAGAACCCAGCACAGTACTCGAGAGGGCCTGGGCACCACTCCCCAGGCAAGCAGGAGTCAGAAGAAAAAAGAGAGACATTTCATTTCTCTGGCTACGGACTGACATTCAGATGGTGGCTGAAGACAGACACAACATGCAGAGCCCAGACCCCCAAGGCCCCATATGTAGGACAATGTCACTATGGCAACTCTGAGCCTTGAGCTTATCGTGGGATTTGGCAGTTTCCAGCACATCTGTCCTCCCCCCCCCCCCCCCCCATGCCAACAGCAGTCTCATCTTCAGATCAGGCACAAGAACTATGTGCAGGATTTGCAGGTGGCTCTGATCCAGCCAGAGGTAGTGCTGTTCCAGGACCTAACAGCCCTGTCTACTTGAGCCACCCATCTCAGAAGGCCGTCTGTAAGGCCCCACAGATCTAGGCTGGGCTGGCAACCTAACAGCATCTCAAAGTCCTGGCAGAAAGGAGAGAGCAGACACAGTTCTGCCAGTCCCAGCTATTTTGGGGTGCCCGGCTTCTTAGGGGTGCCCGGCTTCTTGGTCTGCCAAAGGTGGCCTTGAATGGTGAAGGCATCCACACTCATGGACATGGTCTTGCTAGGGATCTGAGTGAAGCGCTTGCGGTCAGAGCTGTACTTGTAGATGCCTTCGATCATGGCCAAAGTGATGGTGCGAGGCCCATAGCCAGCTAAACGCGTCAGTTCATCCGTCTCCGCAGACAGCGTGTAGAGTGCCCGGAACTGGCAACTCGAATCACGGAACAGAATGAGGAAGTGATTCGCTTTGCTCTTCTCAATTTCCTTAAAATGGAAGGAGGGAAAATAAGATTATTTAGTTAGGGCCTAGGTAAAACTAAAGTGAAGCAAAGAAATTCCTACAACCTTAGAACTTGCTCAAGAATAACTAGAGATTTCAGTTCTAAGTTCTTGTGAATGGTCACATCATCAAACCAGGTGAGCAAAAACAGCCACTTTGTTTCCCGCTTCCTCACAGGTAGGACATAGAGTGGTTCTGCTTTAGGCAGAGTTCCGCCGCCTCCATACTCAACCAGCACCCTGCTCAAACTCTTCACCAAGAAAGCAGGAGGTGGTGTCCAACCATTTCTGGCATATAGGTTTTTCGCCCCCTAAACAAGCCTATGAGGAATAACTACAAAGGCTTAGACAGTGGGTGAAAATAACCTGAAAGTGCTTCACCCCTTGCCATGCAAGAGACTTTGTGTGGTCTGTATCATCCCTGTGGTGGAGTTTTAAAAAGGAAAATGGAAAATAAGTCCCCATATACACAATGAAATGTCTGATCTGGCAGTACTAATCAAACATCTACAATTCCAGGAATTGCAGCCAACATTTTCTTCTTCTACACTAGGGACAAACTGGACAAACTCAAGGTAAGGTTAAACCACAGAAATTGACCAAAGCAGGAAACATGGCATATGGTGGAAGAAAAAAGTAAGCCACACGGATGTCCCACCTCTAAAGACTTTGTCCTCTGAACCGGCATGTACATTTTCCATTTTTTCTCAGCTCTACACCCCTTTACCTCATTTGACACTACACACTTGAAACATGTCCACCTGCCAGGATTCTTTAAAGAAAGCCATCTACTGAAACCGACCTCCCCTCCCCTCCCCTCCGCTCCCCTGAGCTTACTTCCAAGATGCGGTTCTTCTGGGGCTCATTGACTTTGCCAGCCAGGCAACAGTGAGATAGTGCATTGTGAATAATGTACTTATTGGACTTGGCACTGGGCTCCTTGTACAGCTTGGGTCCTGCAGAGAGAAGGTCTGTTATGTTTCCCCTGCTCCAAAGAAACACAGGCCCAGGAAAGGCATGCAGAGGTGCTCACAAATCCGTGGCATAGGCAGAAGGCGGATGGGGAGGCCCCTTGATGCACTGGGCCCATCTGCAACACCCCAGGGGGGAAGCTGGGGTTTGTGGAAGGACAGAAGGAAGTTTACCAGTGTATTCTGGAATGGAAGCAGGCGAGGAGGCAGTGGAGGCATTCTCCCAATCACGCTCCCGGCTCTGGTTTGGCAGCAACCTGCTGGGGGACATGGGCCCGGAAGGAGAAGCAGCTCTGCAAAAGAAGGAGGTCAAGCTAAGTGCTTTCCCTTGATCCCGGAGAGGTGCAGCCTTGTGTAAGCAAGGCTGACTGCCGGTTGCAGCACCCTGGCCACAGACCCTGCCCCAGTCTGGCCTGCTTGCATTAGGGCGGCAGTACCCGGCGGGCAGGCTGAAGAGAAGCATCGCGCACTCACCGCGAAGATCTCTTGATGGAAAGCGAGTTGCCAGGATCGTTGGCCACCGTCGAAAGTGAGAGAGTGGATTGAGAGTACACCTTGCTGAGCTTGGAGCCTAAAAATAATGGGCATGAAAAGGAGTTGGCAGAGCACCCTTTCACAATCGTCCACAGAGAAGGAATCTGTCATTACAGGCAGGCTGGAATGGAACAGGTGCCAGTTTTGACTGCCCAGTCAACCAGTTCACCTCTGGCTCCCTTTACAAGCCTGGATGTGAGTGTCAAGCCTGCACCTGGCTGACTTCATTGCTCCAGGAATCCAGTCCACTTCCTCAGGTTGTGCAAACACAGGAGAATCTAATCGCTAAATAAGCCGCTGCACGAGGTTCCTCCCAGGCTCCATGTTGATGGAGTCCAAAGTCAGAACAGACAGGCACAAAGTGCCTCACAAATTGGTCATTGTGGCTTAATGAAGAATCCTCCAACTCCTGGGAACCTTGACGTAGAGACCACAGGCCACCCAGACAAGTTCTGCTGCCAATTCTGTGTGGCAAAGGCACGACGACAGAAAGCTGCCTTCAGTGTCATCTCTGCCGTGGTGCGCTTCCAAAAACTGTTCTCTGGCCTGCATTTGGTATGTTTGCATTATGAGCTGTGCTCCACTTGCCCAGTAATCACCACCACCAAGTCCCCAGGGAACAGGAGCAGCCTTCGCTCCGTGAGTGGAGAAAGGGCACTCTAGAGTAATAGTACTAATAGCCAAGGTCATGCCAGGCCACTGACTGTGCAGGCAAATCCAGCAACAGGAATCTCTCTGGATCCATCCATCCATCCATCAATGTGGTGGCGAGGAGCGCCTTCCTTCAGCTTTGGCTGATCCAACAGCTGCTTCACTGGCTCCCACTTGAAGTCCAGGCCCAATTCAAGGTACTGCTACTAATTTAAAAAGCCCTGAACGGTTTGGGACCAGGATACCTGAAGTAACGTCTCCTTCCCTACACACCCTCATGCCCCTTAAGATCAGCGGGAGAGTCCTTGCTCCGGGAACCCTCCCTGAAGGAGGTACAGAGGGTGTCTACCCAGAGGAGGGGCTTCTCTGTGGTGGTGCCCAGACTATGGATTGCGCTCCCCAGAGAGCTCCACCTGGCGCCAACTCTCCATTCTTTCCAGCACCAGGTAAAGACCTTTTTATTTAGCCATCATTTTAATATTTAAAATTAATAACTTTTAATAATAATTAATAATTCTACACAGTCGCATTTTCATTCTCTTCTTTTTCTTTCTTTCCTCCCTTTTCTTTAGTTTTGAACTGTTGTTATTATTGAATGTTTTAATTGTATTTTATATTACTATTTTAACCTTTTGCAAGCCATCCTGAGGCTTGCTGCAAAGGACAGGCTAAAAATGTTATAAATAAATAAATAAACCTCTGAAAGTGGACCATTTCAATGCCCCCCCACCTATCCCTTGCAGATCTCAGGGGTTCCAGTAAGTCTAAAGTCTACCATGACAAAGGTGTGATTGTAATCACCACCATCGCTACTAGATCACGATCCACCTTCCCAGCAGTAAAACCCAAGTCCAGAACAGCTTGAAGACGGTGGGTAGACACAGCCAACCAGTCCTGTGATGGCCATGAAATCCTGAGCTGCACATAACATGGTGATTTTGGCATGGTAATTAAAATCCTCTGGCATGAGTAGCCTCCAAATCACCAGTCAGCTCAGGCAGGGAGCCTTTGAGGCAGCAGGTAAACATACCCCAACAGAATCCCCATCCAGTTTTTTGTATACCCACCATCGAGAACAGATGCTCAAAACGAGCAACTGCTGAAAAAGGCACCCGGGGGAACACCTGTGCAACAGGCCGCGTGACCACACTTTCTGGGCCTGCTCACATCCCACTGACACACCAAGGCGTCCTGCATGCCCTGCCCTCACAGGACACGGCAGCCTCATGCACAAGCCCACCCCTGCCTACAGCACATGCCCAGCTCTCTCCTTCCTTCATGCCTTCCCCGCAGCCAGCTGCAACCCTTACCAAGGAGACCTTTAACAGGGCTGCGCGCAAGGGCAGAATCGTCGCAGAAGACCGTCTTGGGCCTCCCCTTCTTCAGGGCTCGCACCGTGGTGGGCTTCTGGCGCAGCACCTTGTCTAGGTCTTCCATCAACTTGAGCTGCTGCCGCCGCTGGTACTCCTGGCGTGTGAAGTCCCCACGCCTCGGCCCCACTTCATCCTCCTGCCGGGTCCGCTCATCCGTCTGCTGCCTGCGGAAACACAGCCAAAATACCACTGAAGGGGAGCAGCAGCTACACACGCATCTGACCCACCTCACAGTTTGTTGTTCTCAGCAGATGGCGGAAGCTGCTTTCCCAACAAATCCTGAGAAACCTCAGGTGCATTCCAGGGATTCTTCAGTGCAAAAAAACTACAATAGCAGACAAGCTTCCTAGCAAGACCACCACTGCCCCTCCCCCACCATGCAGCACAACAGAGACTGTTGCCTGTGACCTGTTCACACAGGGTGACAAGAGGCCTGGCCCATGTCCTGCATAAACTGAATGTGCCCTAGAATCCACTCCAGGATTTTCTGCCAATCAATGGAGATCTGTCGCGGACCAACAGAAATTCCTGAGCAGATAAATGGACATGAAAAAGGGTTTTCTAAATGTATACACTTTGAGCAAGAGTCAGTTCGGGCAGTCTTTCCCAGCTTGGACTGCAATTTCCGTCATTCCTAGCCACTCTATTCTCTATCCTGCAAGTGGCAGACCCAGCCAGGTAGTATATCCAGGTAGGCAACTGCCTGGACGGGGACACAATATTTTTGCTCTGAATGGCGAAAATGCAAGTTTTAAAGCTTGCAACAACTCAATGATCCAAAGAAAGGACATCAGTATCTTAGCACCAGGGCAGGACTGGTGGCAGCACCACAATGAAGTGGGGCAGTTGCCAAGGGCCTGCTGGAGTTTGAACTGGGCCTTCTTGCCCTGCGTGGCTCATGGGACTGATTTTACCGGGCAGCAGTAGCAGAAAGCAGGTAGGATGCGGCCATCCTGCACTCCCAGTGTCCCTGGAGCAATGCAACGCCAACGCACCACGGCAAAGTCAGAATGGCGGCTGCGTGCAAAGCCCTGCGCAGGTCACGGTGCTGCCCCCCACCACGGTGCCATCAGCAAACCCAGTGAATGGAGGTGGGTGAGCAGATGCCTTTGGCCAAGCTCCTCCCAAGACACAGACACCACCCTCGCCGCAGAGAGTAGCTATCATTTCTTCTGACACCGATCTGAATCTTGACATGCTCGTGGAGTTGAGCTGCACCACAAACGGCAGTGCTGACGTTCGTAAATGCGCAAAAAGAAAACATCTTTAAGGGTTGGGGGATAACCCCGAATGGCTCCACAACAATTAACGGCACAGACTATTGAGTGAGGAAGAACATAAACGGTGCAAATGGAGTGCGAGGTCTGAAAATAAAGAACGGAGGAAACACACAGATGTACGACAAATCTAGAAACAAACATTTCATGGTCTGGATAGGTCAGTTCCTGGTTCACACGGAGAAGCTGTTTGTAAGTGTCCCCAGAGATGGGACAAAGAGCTGCCCACAAGCATCAGTGGAGATGTCAAATAAACGTAACCAGGACTGAACACAAATCCATCAAACATACACACATCCAAAGCACAAAAGGAGGGAGAGAAGCCCCAAGCAGGTCCATGACGACTTAGCGTGCTCCATGGCATGGAATGCTGAGTCGCAGTTGCTGGGCTGGGGCAGGTGGGGAGGGGGGGAGGGAGGGAGGGAGGGAAGGAAGGAAGGAAGCAGCACAAATGAACCCTGAAACAGAAGCAATCCATATTCAAACATTTTGTTGCAGAGCACCCCTCGTAAAGGTCTTTGAACTACCACAAGCTTCTTCTGCACTGATTATCCTTTAGCTGCATAAGTCCTATTCCGCACAGTGCTAGCACATACTTCCCCAAATGTCTGAACTGCAGTGAGAATGGCCAGGCACAACCCCAGCCTCCAGCTTAGCCAGCCAATATACCAGCATGTCAGTATCTGCGACTGATTTGGCCTACTGGAGGGGCTGGATCCAGACATAAGTCGCTGAAAAGGGTCCCCCCACCACTACCACCCTAATTTCTTCTCACAGCAGCCCTCCAGCACCCTGAAAATGGCACAGTGACTCTAGGGAAGGCAAGGGGTGAGCTGTGGGGAGGGGGGAGATCCCCCAAAATTTGACAGAGGGATCTTCCAAGAGCAGAGCCCTCCTCTCAGGCAAGGCAAAGCCTGGATCCAAGAGTCCGGGTTTAGCTTCAAGAAAAAAATCAGACACAATTCTTGGAAAGGGCTTAACAGATTTGCATCAATTAATCTCTTTATCCATTCCCAGGGCCCCAGGCAAGTCAGTGCGGCACACCTTGCAAGAGTCCATGGGGAGGAAGCAGCCCCACACCCAGCTGGGCACCAGCTACCTGATGCCAACATTCACATGCATCCTGCAGCCGAAACCAGACAGGCTGCACGCCCCCCTGCAGACACGTGAAAGGGATCGAACCAGGCTGCGGGGAGAGGCACTGTGGCTCGCCCCCGTCCTGCCTCACCTGCTCTCCTCCTTCCTCTGCTCCTTCTCTGCTTCCTGCCACTGCTTCCTGCGCCGGGCCTCCTCGCTGCGCCGCTGCTGCCTCTCCAGGAGGCTGGCACGCTTCTGCGCCATCTCCTCCTCAGCTTTCTCCTCATCCTATAGAAATACAGGACATCGCAGTACTGATAGAAGGCAAAGGCTGTAAACCCAGTCAAGATTATATGAACTTCTGGAGGGGATATGGAAATAATCAAAGTATATTATATATTATTAATTGTTATAGTATGTGAATGGTGGTAACATTGGTCTCCGGGGTGGTGGGGGCACTTTATCATTTACTTTATTATTGTGTTTTTGTTATATTAGTATTGTTGTGATGTATTGTATTTATGTTTGTCTAAAAAAAATAAAAAGGGGGGAGAAATACAGGACATCAGTATTGGGAGGAGGCTGCAGGCAGGGAGTCCTAACCAATGCAGCGTCTCTCTCCACGTCCACGAGGATGGACAGCCAACCTGGCTGCTCTACTTCCTACCCACCCCAAGGCTGGCTCCAATCCGTCTGGGCGAGCTTACAGAGAACATCCTGACTGCGCGCAGCTTTTTCTACCAGCGTTATAGCCTGCGTGATCCAGGTCGCTACGAGTGTCAAAGAAAATGTGGCTCACAGCATCCATAGTGGGGACCAGGATCCCAGTGGAAGGCAGCAGCCAAAGTCATGGTACTATCAAGCCTTGAAACTGGGTCAGACAGGCAGAAAGCGCAGGAAGCACCACTGCAGATTCCTGCCCCAGGCCGCCCCAGCAGCAACCGGCACGGGCTCGATCCGCACTGCGCCGTCCCTCATCCAGGGCAGAGCTCTGGGAGTTCGCGTGTGAGCACTACACTTGCTCCCCGCAGGGCGTTGCAGGGAGCTGTGTCACCAGCAGAGAGCAGCAGGTGGCACGAGCGAACCAGCCAGTGGCAGTGGCAGGGCAGGGCAGGCCCTGAAATAAGACCTTTCCTTTCCTAACCAAAGGACCTTAAAAAGGAAGTGTAGCTTTAAATGGCATGGCTCCACACATGCCCGACCAACCCATCTGCAAGCTCTGGGCATAGCGATGCCCAGCAAGGGGCCCCCTGGAATCCCAGCTCTGCTGCTGAGCTCGCATGCAGCCGGCTCACATGACCTGCCGCCAGCCAGCAGAGCCCAAACCACAACACCTGTCTGTGCTCCGCTCCACACCCGGTCAGAATTGGCTGGTCCCAGGAGAAAAGTCAAGTCCAGCTTGCTCTTCCACGGCCACCCCCTTCTTCCAGAGCCTCTCCCGGGGCAAGCCCAAGGAATTGGCTGTAAGCCACTGGTAGCCAAAGGGAAAGTTCTCACCTTGAAAAAGAAGCCCAGCCCAGAACGGGGCTCAGAATCCAGCGTCTCCGCAATGGATTCCTCCAGCGAGTCATCCCCGTCTATCTCCTCCTCCTCCTCCCCCTTCAGGCTGGACAGAGGGATTTCTATCAGACTGCTGCGCCGGTCACTGGGAGAGGAAACATCACTGGTGCCGTCACCGGAAACGCGTCCGTTGCCCCCCTGCGGGGGCACCGAGGCCACGGGCCTCAAGTTGCTCTGGGCCTCTGCCTCTGGCACGGGCAGCTCCTCATCCTCGGCAAAATGCAGGGAGGAGCGGGTCTGCACAGTCACCTGGCTGGGGGAGAACTTGCGGAGGTGCGGGAGGGTGTCCACATTGTGGGGAGGCGTCAGGACCCGCGTGAGGGTCGGCAGTTTGAGCTCCACTGGCCGGGCGTGCTTGGGGCTCTTGGGAGGAGCAGGGGCCGGGGACTTCTTGGGAGTTGGCTGTGGAGAGCGAGACTTGCGGGAGGGCGACGGCGAGGGCGAGGGCGAGGAGAGCTCCAGGGATGAGCGGGGGGGAGCCCCCTCGCGGCCGGTCCGTGGGGCTGGGATCACCCAGGCTTGGGCACTGGGCTTCTTCTCCTGCATGAGGCGCTGCTGCTGCTCGCTCAGGCGCTGCATGTCCAGCTGCAGCGAACTCAGGGCCGTGTTCAGCTTGGCCACCGCTCTGTTGTAGTCGCCCAGGTTCTCGTCAAGCCCTCCCGCCTTGGTGATCTCCGGGGAGAAGGTCACCTGCTTGTTGTTCTCCAGGCGGGTGCGAGGGCTGCCACCCTCCTCCTCGGCCTCCAGCTGGGCAAGGCGCTCCTCCAGGGCCAGGCGGCCATCCTCCGTCTGCCCCTGGGCATCGGGCGCCTTCTGCAGCTGCAGGAAGGCGCTCTTGCCCAACCGCTGGCGGTGGCGTGTGAAGATGGCCTCGATGCGCTTCTTCTGGGCCTCGATGGCGCGGCGCTTCTCCTCCAGCCGGGCCCCCAGCTGGCTCATCTCCGAGCTGAGGGCCGGGCTCTGGGCAGGGCTTTCCTCGGGCGGCACAGGCCCCGCCTCGGACCCCTCTGAGCTGATGCCACTGGACTTGCTCTCCACCGCCGCCAGCTTCTTCTTGCGCTCCGCAAAGCTTGTCATGCGCACACCGGAGGCCGAGGACGCCGTGCTGTCGGGCTGCGAGCTCAGCGAGCTCACGCATGAGGTCGAGTCATCTGGGGCCCCCGCAGGCCGCGGGGGCTCCTCCACATCAGAGTCCAGGCTGCCCTCCTGGGCTGGTTCCGCGCCGTTGGGTGGCCCATTGTGGCAGCGGTACACGATGGGCGCAGGGGCCTTCTCCGGCACAGCAGCTTTTGGCGGGTCGGGCGAGTGCAAGTAGAAGCCATCCGGGGCACCCTCGGGAAGCAGCCGCTCACTGCTGTGGATGATCTGCAGGGCCTCCTCAATGGTGGGCAGGTCAGAGTAGCCGTCACTCAGCCCGTTCTCCAGGGCCAGCCCCTCCTGGCTCTTGTGCCCTGCCCCGTGCAGCGACGGCCCCACCGACCCATTGGGGGCCTCAGCCGCCTCACTGGTCCGCGGGCAGGGGGAGCGGGGCAGGGTGGGATACAGGGCAGGTGCCAGGCTGTCCGAACTGACTGAGCGGAGGATGCCTACCGGGTTGCCCATCACAATGTCCACATCGCTGTCCAGGCCAAAGGGGATGCTGAAGGAGACAGCCTGGGACAGCGGGTGGCTGGGAAGGACAGGGAAAGGAGGAGGGGACTGTTAGGAGCTTTGTGCTTCCCTGTCCAAACTACACTGTTTTGTCCTTCCTGGATTCCTGTTTCCAAAAACTGCTGTACTTCTGACAGCTCTCAGAGACAAGTGCTAGCAAAAAGCTGTGTGCGCATTGTTCCACCTTCCTAAGAACCTATAATCTTGCGAATGGATAGAGAAGTTGGGAAAACTGGGACTTGAGGGTGGATGGGAGAAGTCAAAAAGCCTGAAGATCTTACTGCAAAGGGGGAAGGAAGCCTGAGGATCTCACTGCAAGGGAGGGGGAGGCGCCCATCCCCTCTCACAAGCAGCGATCACTTGCAGCTTTGCTTTGACTTGGCCGCTGGCCCTTCGACTGCTGTCATGTCAAAACAGGGCATACCACAATCTCTCCGGGTCAATGTCCAGGGCTGGGTACCTGCTGCACTTTGCCAGCAGGCATCCTCCAGGGCATTGCCCAGATGAGGCTACCCATGTTCAGACTGGATGAACAAGTCTGAGTCTGAGATACACGCACACACACACATGTGCACGTGCACACACCCACACAATTACAAAAAAGGTGCGTGTATTCTCAGGGCACCATAAAATTATTTCAGGAAGTAGCAGCAAACTAGTGGCAGCCATCCAATGTGCTGCTTGGGCACTTCAGAAGGGTTCCGGCTGTGACGCGGGCAAAATTGCCAAGAGGTTCAGACAACATGACAGCCCATCATGGGTAAAACTATCCCTAGAACATCCCAGGGGCTCTCGGGTGGTTTGTTGTGCTGCGGGGAAGCCTCCCTGTGGGAAGCAGTCTGTATTCGGGTGACATGACAAGTTATCAGTGATGGGTCACTGCATGGTGTGAACAAGCTCACTATCTGTAACCTTTACATGGGTTTAAATCCATCCATCCCGCCCACCACTAACATACATAAAATGTGTGCTGGCAAGTACAAATGCAGCATAGGGTTACAGCGTTTGACTCGACAGCTTGCGAAGACCTTCGTGGTCCCCCTCCGCATCTTCCAGGACTACCATCCCCACGCTCCCACGGTACTTCTCACCTGAGCTGCTTCTTGCTCCACGCTTTCCCAAAGCCTTCTACGTGGGACATGGATGTGGAATGATGCAAGGAGCCTGTGGGCACGAAGAGACAGAAGTACAGGAGGAGTAAAACCACGACTGTCTCTTGGCAACGTCACGGCAAGAGTCAAAGCACACACCCACAGGGATGGCTGGCACCAGAGGGGGAAAGCTCCTGCGCACAGGGCTGAGGAAGCTGTGCCTGTCCAGAAGTTTTTAAGGCTCAATTCTCCTCAGCCCAAGCCAGTTTGACCGATGAGGAGAGATAAAGAGCTCTTTTGGACACCAAGCATGCATTTGCAAGAAAAAAACTAAACAAAAACCACACTCTCCCCCAGGAGTATGCAAAGCAATTAGTACAAACACAGATTACTGTTGACATCTCAGATTATGTCCACAACTCTCTTTTGAAGTTATAATTAAAATCTAGTTTCTCAGGATGAAGCATCACTGAAGTCCAGCTTACAATGCAGTCCTATACACGCCTGCCGCATATTGTGCATGGGATTGCAGCAGCCCTGGGTGCTTTACACTATATAAGCAGTTTAATAACATCGGTTCTTAGTCATGAGATTAATCAATGCAAAGCACACCTTTTCAGAACTCTTAAAACTGTGCCTGCCGAGACAGGCTTACTATGGCTGTGTTACCCCTGAAAAACATGCAGAAACTGACCAGGACTACTGAAACTTGCTTTCAAGGCAACAAAAAGGAGCCCCACAGGAGATGTTGATAGATATGATCAAGGCATGCCCGAAGGACCTCTAAGAGGCTTGTGCTCTGCTTAACCATGTAATGCAATTCCTCTTCTTTGCATGGGGGGCAGGGGCAGAAAATGAAACAAACACAGCCAGCAGCATCTCACCTAAGGAACCACAGAGGGGGGACTGCGCCTGCCCTCCAGGTAGCAGTGGGTGGCGAAAGTTGAACACTGGGGAGCTGCTAATAGAACAAAAGAGACAAGCAGAGATTAGATCAAGACAGGGACATAGTTACAAAACCTGTGGCCACATACAGGAAGGCTAATGCAGGAGCTCATTGGTTAGGAGGGTGGCAACCAACGCTTGTACTGGGGCTGGCCCAGACAGGGGTTCAAACCACCTAGCAGCACAAATAGAGGTGACCTGCAAAACATGCCAGGGAAGGCTGCAGCGGCCAAGTGGGCGGGCGTGGAAAGCCAATTCTACCGGGAAAACGCCTAGAGTTTTGGGGGTGGGAGACAGAAATTCAAGAAGGACTTTACACAACACGAGAATTGCTGAGAATTGCTGCATCACACGCACACACATTTAGAGCGCAAAGTGTCAGTCTGCTCATTCATTTGACAAATAAAGCGAACATGTAGTTACAGGCTTGCAGAAACCAGTTCCTTTAATGTGCTGCCTAAAGGCATTCCCATAGCTTGGGAATGGGAGGAGATCAGTGGCCACCTTAAGATCAGAGCCTTTCCCTGTCCCCCAAGGAGGACGACAATTTCTACTGGCCTGGAGCAATTTGAGAACAGCCTCTCTGACCAGGAGAGTGCTCCTCTTTCCCCTACCGATGCAACTCAATCCAGGTAGAGCTGGGGGGGAGGGGGGTCTCCTGATCAACAGCTACAGCTGACCAGCCGAGGGGGCATGCTGCCCCCCAACTAAGATGCTTAGGACTCAATTCTCTCCTTGCAGCAAAGAAAAATCCCACCAGCCTGAAACATAAGGAGGCACTGAGCCACCATAAAATACAAGGCATGTTCCTCCCACCCTGATTGCTGGAATAGCTCCTTCCAGATTGAGTTTCCCTGAGCAGTTGCTTATATGTAAAGAGTCCCTTGGGCAAGCAGAGAGGTAGCAGCCAACAGCAGAGCAATCAGGTGCTATCTAGCTCAGCCTGCTGCACAGCAGGATCACCCTGTCACAAATTGGCACCAATTACCCGTCCATGAAGAAATATTTGCCTGCTTTGAGCCAGGATCCTGGGGCACTGCTGAGCTGGAATGGGCAGCCACCAGCGGCTCAGCTTCAATGCTCCTGAGGCTGCTTGAAGCCGTCCATCAACATCTGTGCGGCTCAACAGTTTGGCAGGTTGCTGCCTTGACACTGCCCCATTCCGGCATTACCCCAAACATGGCAGGCCACATCTCAAAGCCTTGGAGGTGGCTTACCAGGCTGCCAGTGACAGCACATGCCAAAACAGCACAGGTCCAACCCATTTCACTATGTATCTGCAGTGAAGGACAAGATGGCATCTCCCTTCCTTCCATGGACAAAAGCCAGTCAGACTGGCTGTTAGTCTTGCTTCAACACAGACGTCAGGACAGCTTCCTTCAGGATGCCTCAGAATCTGCCACTGGAGGCAGCTGCCTCGCTTTGCCTAAGGATAGGGCCAGTTCTGCCTCAAGGAAAGGCAGCCTCTGATTATGGTCAGGAACCAGAGCTAACACAGACCAACCCAGTGACAGTCCTCTTGGAGGGTCCAGCTGATAAAATGTCAGGGTACCACTGCTCAGAAGAAGAGGACCCGCTGTGAAGCCACCACTGATCCCCCTCACTCTGCAAGCTTTGGCTCCAGAACAGGGCTCTGTGTGGAGTGTGCCCCTAAGAAACCATTCCGCCTCATTTAATCACTTATTTTTCCATGTACACCCAAGCATCGCCTCCAGCACAGACAAGCAAGGGGGAGCACGGTGTGTGCTCAAAGGGGTGACGAAAGCGCCGGAGGCTCACTCACCTGTTGTTGTTCCCACTATTGGGTGTCAAAGCGTCACTCAACCCAGGGGCATCTGAAAGAGAGCAGCCACTTCAGCAAACAAGCAGGGAAGGGAAAGAGCCGAGAACGCGGGTGGGGGATTAAGTCAACAGAAGGTCAGGAGAGAGGGTGGGAATGCCAGCCACGTGTGCCAAGGTGCGTGAGAGAAGCCTGCTCCGACCTCAGCTCACACAGGAGGGCCATTGTTCCAGGACTGGGGCGTGCCAGGTCCCAGCAGCCGCTCCACTTTCTCCGCAGGGCACTGGTTGGGTGGACGGGGCGGCTGGCAGGGAGGGCTGTCAGAAACAAGCCCCAGTGTGGTGTGTGTGTGGTGCCCACGTGCAATACAGAGTGCAGCTCCATAATGCGGTCTGCACCCTCCTTATGGACGAGGTATGTAATGCACCACCTGTTGTATAAAGTGCATGAGGTTGAAAAGAAGAATGCAAAAGGGTCTGCGGCATCAAAATGCAGAACTACCTTGGAAAGGCCAGGCTTTAACAAGCACTTGGAAAAAGCATGAATGATGAACAAGGCAAAGCAGTCAACATGTGCACTTGGGAAAAAGCAGTACGACAAAACCCACAGACACTCTGCAGACGGAAGAGAAGGATGCTGCAAGGTATGTTTGGTGACAATCAGATCATAGCAGGTAAGTTTTGCTCTGTTTGCCTTCTACCTTTCCATTCTATTTAGTTCGTACTGCAAAATGTGGGAGGCATCTGCCCTGCCTCCACCTTTCTTTTAGAAAGGGAGGACTTGCCCAGAAGCCTTTACAAACTGGATTTTATTGGCTTGCACACTTTTGTATAAGTGTGGCATCCTTTCGCCCCTCAAAGCCTTGAAAAACTCTCCATTTTGTTTTAAAAAACAAGCACATAGGCAGCATGGTTTAAAAAGTCAGGAAAACTTGCAACTAATAATAACAACCCCCACTAGCCAAATTTGACTAGGATGAAATGAAAGATTTTTTGCAAAAGTTCCTTTACCTCCCCATCACTTTTGCCTTCTCTTCTCTCCCCCAGGTTTTCTCCCGGTGTGCTAAATGCCTCGAACAAATTCTCATATTGTGAAGCATACAGGATGGAGACTTGCTCCATTGGTAAACCGAGGTCTTGGCATACTCAGTGGTGATCAGGAGAGCACTGTGTATATGGCCCTACTAATAAGGACTATATTAACATGGCCTTTGTTCAACCTTGCGCCATACTATTCAGGTGTTTGCCTCACCTGTAAGCTCTACAATGCAAGAATTGGGGGGGGGGCAGAATAAAGAGTGCAAACTCTACCCCTCCCTTGCCATTCTTGTTCTTTAAAAGTGGAGAGCCTTCATGTCTTTCTAAGATTTTAAAATCCTGATTTTGCATCCTATGCAAATCCCGGGAGAGTCTCCATGGAGAGAGGTGGCTCTCTGTTGCAGCAGGCCGCAGGAGTAAGGCTAGAATGCTCTTCCTTTCATAACACTGACATGTGAGGAGAGCACATGAATAAGGCTGGGAAGAGCAAGCCACCTACAGGAAGCTGAGGATGGATGATTTCACTTGCATCTTGGAGTATCTGCGCTTCAAGCCAATTGCTACCCCCAGAGATTGGGGCAGGGACAACCGTACCTTGAAGTCTGGGCGGCTCCTTCGGGCACACGAAGTCTGGCTTCAGCACCTCAAAGCACAGGAACAACTCGGCCAGGAACACACCGACATTGATCTGGGGAAGCAGAGCCGTCATTAGCAAAGGCCTCTGGGAGGGAACACAGTCTCCTTTCCCCTCAAAGCACTGGGTCCCCAAGGCCTGAAAAGAGCCCAGAAAGGACAGGGGGTCTCTGCTCCAAGTCCCACAGAACCCCGAAATCAGACCTTCAGGGCTGGAGCTGGTGCACAGGAGTGGCACCTCCTACTGCCTCCGTCTCACCCCACCCCCTGCCCCGCCATCCAGCACTGAAGGGCCCCATTGACTCGGCAAGGCCAGCTCCTAATTAGCGACGCCGCAGGCACTGGCCAAGGCTCATTAGGGCCAGGGCAGGCTGAGCACTGGTACTAATCCGCACTTGCTCTTCATTAGCAGCCACATGGAGCACGGAGGCAGCCCTTCCCCTCTGGGCCAGGTCCGTGGCAGTGGAGACCTTCTGGGTGGTGACTGTCCACTGCCACAAAGACAGCGCTCCATCCTGCAGCCAGGCCATCCCTAATCCCTCCCAGCAGCAGAGGCACCCTGGCTAAGGACCATCTTGACAGTTACTTTCAAGCCTACTGAATTTTTAGATCTTTATTTCACGTTCACATGGCACTTTTACACTTCTAGAAGTGCTGCTGTTTGCTTGATTATGCTTTTAATGGTTGAGAACTCCCTGGAGAGCTTCAAGCCACTGGAGAGTACAGAAATGAAATTAATCTGAAATTCAGAGAGTGGGCTCAGGCTGAGGCAGGCCCTTGGTCCATCTATTCCAGCTGTGTCGCCACTGATTGACAGCCATGGTTCTTTAGGGCTGCAGACAGAAATATTTCCAGTTCCACCGGGAGATGCTGGAACTGAACCTGGGGCCTCTTGTCTGTAAAGCAGGGGCTCTACGCTTCGCCTCGCCTCTCCAGCTGCACAACTCACCCTCAGCGTTGGGGGCATGTACAGCAGGTCCTCCAGCGAGAGGAAGCAGGAGCGACCCAGGTAGTCGGAGCAGAAGCCCTGGATGAGCTGCAGGTTATACAGGCTGTCTGCCACAGACATCGTCTCCTTCAGGCACACATCTGTCCAGGCAGGAAAGGGTGCAAGATCCGTTAGAGGCGACAGGGGGGAGAGGAGGTCCGCTCCCAGGTGCTGCCAACCTGCAAACGGCCACCCCATCCTTCCACGCCAATCCAAAGCACGGACTCACCCTCGAGGCGTACAACTTGGGGGCAGTAGTAGTGGATGGTGGCAGCAATGGCGGCCCCGCTGGCAAGATCCTTCAGGCCTGTGATGGCAGGGAAACAGGGAGTCTGTTTGGGCAGTGCCTTGTCCTTCCGGTAGCGGATCTGAGCAGGACAGAGATGCAGGAAGAAGTCAAAATGGCACCAGGAGCTGGCCCGTGCGAGGGCCACCTAAAAGCCGGATCAGTGTCCTCCCTTGTCCATGACTCTGCCCCCCCCCCCGAGCTGCTCTGCCCTAAAGCCCATTCTGCTCCAAACCTGACCATGCAGCGACCCTCATACCCTGTTCCTGGAGTGGATGCCCAGAGGCTCATGGCCAGCTGGACCCTCCCCAAGCAAACAAATAAAAGGTGTGCACACCGTATGGTACCTCCATTCCCCACCCCAGACCAAGAGCAGAGTGCATGCTGGGAGGGGAACAAGGATCTAAAGCGGGGAGAGGGCAAGCGAGAACCTGGGCCACGGCCCCTTCAAAGGCAGCCCAGAAGGAAAGCAGGAGGAAGGGGAAGAAGCAGCCACTGCAGGAATAGAAAAGGAGACCCTCTCCCTTCTATTGTAGCTCCAGGTGACCCAGAAGGGCAGGCCTCCCTTTCCCCTTTCCCAGCACTGTTCCAAGAGAGGTCCTTGTCTCACACTTGGCCCAAACAGCTGCATTACCACAATGCCTGGGGCAAGGAGATGCTAGAATGGCAGGATTCACACTGGACAGGAGAGATGGCAGAGGGGCCATCCGTCAAGCTTTCCCCTCCATCGGGCCACGGCAAGTTATCCTTTCCCACTCCAAACATGCTTGTCCTCACCCCAGGACACAGCAGACAAGACAAAGGCAGCCCCCACACCAGAGAAACACACAGAGCAGGGCAGGCCACGCATTGACAGTGTACGGGGGAAGGGGGGGGTGCACAGACAGACACAGACACCCAGCAGGCCAGCAGGAGGAGGGGGAGAAAACTCAAACTAGGCAAAGGGGCACCTCCGTTCCTGCTGCAAGGAGCTGGAGGAAGGCTCAGCGGGAAAGGACGGGTGCAAACAGTGGGCCACACAGAGCAAGCCCTCGATGCAGGCTTCCTACCCGCTCCCAGGCCCAATCCTGCTGAAATCAGGACTGCAGAGCACAAGGCCTGCCCTCCTGCTGCGGATCAGACATCTGCCACTCGGGGGAAGGCAGGGAGGGAGCCCGAGCAAACAGAAGGAGTGGGGTGGTCATCTGGCCAGAGAGACCGAGCAGGGCAGCTCCAAACACAGCCGTGAGGGTTCAAGCAGCCACGTCTGCCTTCCATGCTTCCCTTCCCAGTGCAAGGACGTGCGTTGCCATGTCAAGGACAGACATCCCGCCCTGACAGGCAAGGTGCCTGCCTGAAAGGGGAGGTGCCAGCTGAGGCTTCTGTGGACTCTGCAAAGGCAAAGGAGTCCGTGTGGCAAAGCTGCTGGCATGCTGGACTAGGATTTGGGAGATCCAGGTTCTAGTCCCCACTTGGCCATGAAGCTCGCGGGGGCAAGTCACTGAGTCTCAGCCTAACCTACCTCACAGGGGGCTCGTGAGGATAAAATGGAGAGGAGCAGGAGGAGCATGTATGCTACCTTGGGCTCCCTGCAAGAGGAAAAAGGCAAGATATTAAATAAGCGAACGAACGAATGAATGAATACATGGGACACGTGGCTGTTTGACCCAGCGTAATCAAAGCAGCCCGGAGCACCTTACTTAAGCCACAGCGGGCTGAGGTGCGCCTGCGCATTGGGAATGCGTGGGGAAAGTGTGTGCAGGTGGGACTCTGTCAGGTTCCCCGGGCTCAGCAAGCCAGACTCCTGTCCGCTTCGCTGCAGCCCTGAGCCTGAGCCCTTGGAGAGCAAGGCGCCAAGGAGGAGCCAAGCCCCATGCATGCGCACGCAGCCTCCCTCTCCCGCATCAGGAGCGGCTGCACCTGGTGCGGAAGAAGGCTGCTAGTTGTGCAACAGGGGACCCACTCTACTTCTTCACTTTGGGAGACTGGGCCGAGCACAAGAGGATGTCTGGGAATACTTGCAAGGATGGAATCCAACAGAGTTCCTCCCTGGTTGCCACTTGCCATGTGCTCTGAACTTGGGCAGCAGGGACCGTGCAACGGTCAAACAACTCTCTTAACCTGTGGCCTGTCGCCGGGTTATGCATGGGTCCTTTAACCCTTGCGCAACTCCTGCTGCCTGAGTTCACATGACACGATAAGCCAGGGCCAGGTGTTCAATATTTGAAATGGCCATCTGTACATGTCATTGCCCTCCATGGCCCAAATAAGCCACGGCAGGCTGTTTGACCATGCAAGCCCACTGCTGTTGTGTTCGGATGCCTTCGGGGCGAGAGGAACTAATGACACTGACTCCCCACAGCAGTCACCGAGTGACATGTGTCTTGCACTGTGAACATCTGGAGCCACTAGAAGCAGCTGCCTGCTCCCCCGAACGTATGGAAAGGCCCCTGGAAGTGTCGGCAAGGGGGTGGGGAGCTCGCCTCTTGAAGCTCCAGGCAAGTTGGCAGCAAGTGGGGTGGGGGCAAGCCCATTGCAGCAGGAACAGCCAAGAGCTCTAGAACAGCAACCCAAGTGGATGGCAAGGCGGTGCAGGTGGGCGGGCGGGCGAGCACGCGCGCCGGCGGATACGTTACCACAGGAGGCTTATTCCCCGACTCCTTCAAACAAAAAGCGATGGCATGCTGGATGCAATAGCAAAGAAAAGAGAGAGCCTGATCAATGCACCCGCAAGGAGGGAGGGAGGAGGGAAGGGTTGCGGCCTTGCAAGGCTGGGGGCGGGGGCTGCTCTAAGGGGCGACGGGGGCTCTAGCTCAGGCCTGGCATCCTGCCTACATCACTCCCTCCCAGCATGCACTGGAAAACTCAAAGCCCCGTCCTGTCGACAACACCCCACATCCTATCCAGACCTTCTGGACAAAGTATCCTCTGGCCACATACTTGGCTACATCAAGCAGAGCAGGGCAGCAAGCAAAGGTATGTGTGGGAGACGGGGGGCAGAAGGCAACAAAAATGGGGCAGGGATAAAGGCATGTCATGTGACTAGCATGCTGGTCCTGCTTGACAGCCCCAGGCGTGAGCTGCCCCGCTCTGGCCGTCTCTTAGCCCCTCCACACCAGTGGCACGTGAGGACTGTGCGTCGGTCTCTGGAGGATGGCTCTGGTGCTGGAGCACCTGCCGCCTCAAGGGGGCCGTGTCAGTTATCCAGGCAGGAGGAAGAGGCTTGGGGACCCGACCCACACACAAGCACGCACAACTAGCAAGCTGCCCCTCCGGGGTCCCCACAGGAGGAGACCTGGAGCTAAGAGAGACCAAAGCCGGTACAGATGGTGGAGGAAAGGGAGATGAGAACAAAGGATGCTGGGATATACCAGCATCCCGGCCGCTGGTGTCTCGTACAGGCCACTCCTACTGCCCAGACCAGTGGGACCCCTCTGCCCTCACAGTTCAGTGCCTACCCCTGGGGAGCAGAGCAGCTTAGCCACCAGAACCTGTCCTCAAGGGAAGCCCTCCCTACCACACAGATGCTGCTGCTCCAAGGTCCTAAACCCCCAGCATCCTTTGCTCTGGGTCCCCCGGCATGCAGCACAGGAGCTGAGGCAGCAGGGAGATAATAAGTAAAGCCGCCCACTTACAGGAACCAGTTTCCAGTACCACCTTGTGGGACACTGAAGCAGAGGTAGGAGAGAGAGAGAGGAGGCCACGGGGAGGAGAAGAGGAAAGAGATGCAGAAAAAGACAAGCTCCATCACGTACTGCACCTGGACTGCATCACACTCACAGCATAGGCAGCCAGAAAGGCAGCTTGGCTGGGATGAGACCAACATGCCCATCAGGGGTGGAGAGGGGATGGCCGCCCAGACAGGCTCGCCCCTCCCCTTCCCTCCCACCCCAAACTTCCCACAGTTCCAGCCTGGCAGCCCCAGCCAGCCCCACAGAAGAGCTTTGGGGAGAAGTCAGCGCCTCCCATTTCCCAGGAAAACAAAGGGGCTGCCCACAGGGCAAGGGGGGATGAGGCAGACCAAGACCACCACACGGGCGTTTGACAAGGGGGAGCGGGGAGTTCCCAGACCTGAGGTGAAGGGAAAGCAGGGAGGAAGCCAGTTCTGTCCTCTAAGGCAGGATGGTGGGGAAGGAGCAGCTCATACACAGAGCAAAGCTAGTGTGGAAAGCCACCCTTCCCTTCCTTTGCCCCACCACCCTTGGGCCAATGGGGTAGGGTCTGCAGACCTCCTGCCAACCCCCTGCCCGCAGTCATGCCGCAGCCCAGGTGTGAGGCTGCCAACCCGCCTGGCTGCATTCAGAGGGAAGCCGCAGCAAGGCACACGCACCTTGGGACCACTGTTGGAGGCCGCCGTCTGGCCGTCTGTGCCAGGAGCAGAGCGCTGAGAACATTCCTGCTCTGTGTTCTGCTGGATCTTGTGGATGATCTGCAGGGAAGCAACCAGAGGGATGCTGTGGACAAACACCGCCGCTTCAGCCCCCACAAACCCCTGAGGTGCGGAAGACGATGTGCCCCTTCCATTCACCTCCCAAACGGGACACAGTGTGCCTGCATGTGTCTGTGTTTGTGCATGTCCACAAACACACTCCAAAACTCTTCAGTGTTGAGAGGCCCATGAACCTAACCCCCCCCCCCACCCCAGACCTGTCCTTCTGCTTCCCTATCGCCCATGAAAAGCAGTGGCAGCAGGTGCTGCAGCCTGCTTGCTCTCTGTCTGTCTGCCTGTCTGCCTGTCAGCAAGCAAGCAAATCTGGCAGCAGAGAGGAGGAAGAGGATGAGAGCAACAGCTGGTGACCGCAAGGGACAGAAGGGCGACTCTTCGAAGGGTCCAAGGGCCATTTGAAAGCTGTAGCTGGCACTGATTGGATTTCTGCACACACCCCTTTCTCCTATGAGATCATGAATTACATTTTTACCTTGCCTCCATCCTGTTGGTTAAGGCTGATTCACAGCAGCTCCATCGCTAGCTCTCTGGGTCCCAAAAGGGTGCGCAGTCCAAGTAAACCCACTGCCAGCTACTAACCGGCCCCACAGTTTGCATGTCAGAGGGCATGGACTAGCGAGGCCAGGCTCCCAAGTCCCACTGAGCCAAGAAGCTCAGTGGCTGTCGCAGCCTAACTGCTCTCACAAGGCCGGGGTGCGCGTGAAGTGGCAGAACCCAACCACATTACCCCGAGTGATCTGGAGGAGGGAGTAACTGCACACACAACAAGGGAACACTTAGAGTACCATGTCTATCCAGTGCAGAAGTTTCTGGTCCCAGGAGATGGCAGCTGGATCAGCACCGGGCACAGCGCTCCATGAGCGGGTGGCTTCCAATGCGAATGCTATCATCAGCGAGTCAATCAGTGCCAAGTGAGCACCCTGTAAGTGCGGCAAGGAAGAGTGAAGAGACAGGGCACATCAGAGATGGGTGGTAACAACAAGAGTACCCTTGCCCCACAAAGAGGGCCTGACAACACCCCATACCCCCCACCCCCAGGGTCTGAAATGTCCAGGGATGGGAGAACGGTCTAGCCACTCAGGCTGAGGCAGATGGAAGCAAGCTTAGGGTGGATTCCCAAGCTGCAGGTGTCTTATTTCTCTTCACCCTCCCAAATATTGAGAAACTCAGACCGATTCTACAGAAAGCTGACAGATGACAGAGCAACAGCTAGCCACTTCATCAAATGCACAGCTTCCCAATTTAATAACAAGGCAAGAAAGAGAGCAGCCGGAGCATACAATGAGGCACAGACATGTCTAAGAGAGAACAAGCTGCAGCAGTCAGAGCCATTGCATGCAAATTTGGAGCAGGAAAGAGGGATGCAAAGACTCCTCCATTCCCCAAGGATGGAAGCGTGGCAAAATAAAATAAAAAAATCCTCTTTTTGCCAGACTGAGCAAGCTCACTCACCTTAACCCAGTCTTACGCCACAGGAGAGCTGGATTAGTTGCCTTAAGCTTTTAATGCTGTTAAGATGAACCCAGATGAGAGCACCAGGATGTGTGCGTGTAGATATAGGGCTATCTGTATCTCCAGGTCTGCAATACACAGGCAATTTGCCCATGCGCCCGCCACCATGTGCACCAAATTCTACAGACAAGTCTCTCGGCACTAAGCGCAAGGTAATCAGGCCCACTGGTCCCGAAGCAAGGGCCCCTGCGGCTCCTGGGTAGGAGCTAACAGGATAGCCAGCAAGCCAGTGATCAAGAATACCCAAAGCTGCCTGGTACCCTAAACTGGGGGCAAAAGGGAAGGAATGGTAGGGAATTCCCAATCCACATTTGCTATCCATAGTGACCCAGTAAGATGCTTAACTGTTACCATTAAAATATCCAACACACGGTATGGGGAATAGATAGGGAAGCATAGCTTCTGTTTCATCGGGCCCATGTGAGCACCATGCGAGATTAAAAGATGCCTACGGGCTGCCTGAGCAAAGATGGGACCACCTAACTCCATCTTCCCAATTGGGTCCCCTCCAGATGTGTTGGGCTAAACCTCCTATCACTCCCAGATGGTATCACCAATCGGAATTGGAGCCCAACACAAGCTGCAGGACACTAGAAGAGGGGAAGGCTGACCTGACCCTGGAGACTTGTGCAAGGTCTCTTCTCTTCACAACTGACCCTCACTGAGCTCTTACCCACCACCTCCCATGGACATATAAAGCAGAGATTAGCAACAGGTGGCCTTCCAGATGTTGCTGGGCTGCTGGTCCCATCACCCTTGCTGGCCATGCTAATGGGAGCTGCAGTCCAAAAGCATCTAGAGGCCATGAGCTGCCCACTCTTTGTACAGGGGAAGGCTACACACCCCGAAGAACCGCAGGCTGACTCAGCGAGGAATGGGGAACTCTCCTTTCCCTGGCCTCAGGCAACAGCCGCACTGACACTGCTGGAGGATCTTCTACCAGCGAACTGCCAACAATGCGGAGCAATGAGGAGACAGGGCTCCTTTTCTCTTTCTCTCCTGCTCACCCATCACTCACATGGAGGTTCAGTGTACACCATCAGATATTCTACATAAGGTCATTCTACATGAGATGGAGCTGCATGAAAAGTTCCATGCACGTAGACGTGCTGAGGAGATTAGGCTGAACCTGCTGACATGCTCATTCTCCATATGCAAGGAGCCCAAGGGCTGTCTTCAAAGTTGATTTACTGCGTTGCTGTTTTATTCTGCTGACTATATATATTGATGCATTTCATCACAGCTTTGTTAGATCCTCAGGAAAAGCTCTGGGAAGTCAGTCCACACCTGCAAACTGGGATGAGTACAGCCCTTAACCAAAGCCCCAGAATTCACTTATGACTAAAACAAACACGACTGGCAGCCACCAAGGGGAATCCTGAGCAGCTGTCTACATACATAATGGTGCCATTTCCCTCCCCTGTCCCCGCGGCTTTACACTGATCTAATGTGGGGAGGGGGAGAGCAGAAAAACAGGATCCAAAGAGCGTGTGGCAGCAATCTGACAAGAAACTCTGTGAGGAGAGACAATTGGCAGCCTAAGGGCTGGATTAGCCACTAGGAGGGATGCTTGGGCGGAGGTGCTTGTCAGCAGTTGGTGAGGCCAGCACCTAAAGTGGGTGCTGGCAGTGCCCCTGAGGTATTTTCATAGACATACTCTTACACCTTTCCCAGATGCACAACCCACCCATCAGCAGATCGGTGCAGATGTGCTGGAGGAGGAGGCATCTTCATCAACACAGAAAGGGGCATTTTAAAAATACCTGCCCAGCACTCAACCTTGGGGATCACAATCAGGGCCTCTCTGATCTTTAACTGAGCTGAGTGGGTCAGCTTTGGCTAATCCATCAGCTGTGTCCCTACCTGGAGGAGGATTGCCTAGCAACAGTAACACACGCATTGGTTACTTCCCGCTTGGATTTCTGTAACGCGCTTTACGTGGGGCTGCCCTTGAAGACAGTCCGGATACTTTAGATGGTTCAAAATAGAGCTGCCAGGATGCTGTCGGGGACTGGGCATTATTCTCATATATAACCCCAGTCCTCTATCAGCTCCATTGGCTTCCAATCGAAGTCCAGGCTCAATTCAAGGTGCTGGTTATTACCTATAAAGCCCTAAACGGCTTGGGATCAGGATACATAAAGGAACGCCTTTTTCCCTATTTGCCCTCCCACCCCCTGAGATCAGCAGCAGAGGCCCTCCTCCGGGAACCCTCTTTGAAAGAGGTCAGGAGGCAGAGTACTCGGAGGAGAGTCTTCTCTGCAGTGGCTCCCCAACTGTGGAATGCGCTCCCCAGAGAGGTCCGCCTGGCGCCATCATTATATGTTTTTCGGTGCCAGGTCAAGACCTTTTTATTTAATCAATATTTTAATATGTTTTAATGGGAAATGGTTTTTATTGTTTGTATTTTATTGATTCGCAGCCAGAGTGGAATTGTCAATTTATCTATTTTATCTTGACCTATGTTGTAAGCCATCCAGAGACACAAGTAATGGATGGCATACACATTTTATAAACAAACAAACCAATAAATAAAATGCAGCAGAGTGGCCCCAAACCAGTGGTTCAGTACAAAGTTGACTTTCCCATCCAAAAAGAGAGTGCAGGAACAAAGCCAACCAAGCTGCAGTCTCAAGAAGCACTCTGTGAGACGATGGCTCAGTTAGGAGCTGCCCTCTCGCTCCTGCTCATACCTCAGAGGAGAAGGGCTTGGAGGAAGAGGCTCCACAGGCCAGGCAGGGAGGCCTGGGAGGCCAAATTCAGCCCATAGACCTGAGGATCCTCAACCTTGTGCTGGAACAAGCAGCATCACCAAGTGCCTGACAGAACCTGGGCAGAAAAGGAAAGGTAACCACATGTAGGTCTCTAGGAACATTTGCACTCAGGATTTGCACCCTGGAAGCGAAATCTTCCACAGCACAACAGACTGAACTGCTGCAGCTAATAAGGTGTTGACAAGGTAGTTAAATGGGAGGTTGTTAATGTGAAACTCATATTCAGAGAAAGATAAGGAAGGGGAGAATGGCTGCACTAGGAACATGCCACACTTGAAGGCAAACCATTCATTCATGCATGCATGCATTTATAGGCTGCCTATAACTGCCTAGGCCGTCCTTCAGAGCAGGGACATCCCTAACATACTTCAAGATGGAGGCTGCAGAAGCCCTCCTGCTTTAACACCTTGGCTACAGAGATGGTTGGACCCATTCCCAGCAGGAAACAGGCCTAAACCCTAGTCCAGGGCCCAGTGCATGGGCCAGAATAGAGGCTTTGTGTCAGACAAGGCTAGGGAAGTAGGATAATAGCCACAACTCAACTCCAACTGGTAACTGTTTCCAGTATCACTGCTAGCAGCAGGCCACCATGGATGTCACTACCAGCTCCCTCCACAAAGCAGCTTAGCCACAAATGTGCTTTCCCATCCTTAGAGTCGGTGTGTGTGAATGTCAGTGGTGGCAATCCAGTTACTTTCTTCCTGCCCCTGCAGGGCATTTTGTGTTCCCCATGATTCTGTCCCAAGGAAGATCTATACCTTCTTTGTAGGACTGGGAGAAGACTTCTAAAAGTTTCATCAGAATCAAGTCACAATCATTTTTTCCAAGGCCATTCCCCCTAAAATCAAATCTTTCCTTTACAACTTCCTCCACTGACAGCATTTCCTGGCACAACAAGGAGAAAGGACAACCCTCACTTTACTCTGTTGGAACTACAATCCCTCCGACCCTCCACAGACATCACAAAGGCAAAACTAATTGCAATTCGAGAGATGTGCTCAGTGCAGATCAACCTGTTGGCACCTGTTGGCAGCTGGGATCACCCCTTGTCTCCTCCTCCACGCATGCATGCAAGAACTACAACTGTTGGGTCATAGGAGTGGAAAACAAAGGTCCCACCTTCAGGTGGGAGCTGGTTAGCCATTCAAACATCCTTCTGGCCCTGGACGTAGAATCTGACAAAGCAGCCCCTCTGACTTAATGGGGCACCTTAATGTGGGAGGGGACCTTGCAATAACACAACCAGGACCTACCACAGAAGGGAATGCTTCCCCAAGGCATTACCAGTGTATTTGGAATCCCTGCCTCAAAAGTCTTGTTTTGTGCTTTTTTTTAAACCCAGAGTGGGGCTAACAAACCCCATCCTCAGCTTCTGCTGCCTGCCTGCTGCTCCCCCTTCTCAGGCACAGCTGCCTCCCTACAATGCTCTCTTTCCACCATCTGCTTCCATGCAAAAAGGAAAAAATCCTTCTCCAGTCCACCCCTCCACCTTCAGCCATGGCACTGCCTGCAATCCACATGGAGAAATACATACAAATACACAATTCTGATGAAGCTATTAAAGGTGAGTTTAAGGAAACGTACACGGAGAGCTCTCTTGTTTATCCCTACTCGAGGTAACAATAGCAATAAAGCAAAGAACAAAGACACCCTGCTCCCTTTAGCACAGCCTCCCCTAATGCCATGTCCTCCAAAAGTGCTGGACTACAGCTCCCACCCTGCCTGCCACCAACCGGGCTGGCTGAAACTGGCAGCCATGGTAGTCCAGATTACCTGGAGGACACCACGCTGGAAAATGCTGCCTTGCATATTCTCCCACACCTGCTTTTGTTTTAGACTTGTCAACTACAGTAGGAACGGCTATTCCGCTGCCCAAGATAAAGGAACCCTACATTATTCCCATGTAATTTGGTCTAAGTAGAACAGGTCTTGTATCTTGCTATGGGGCCCTTAATTTCTCCACAGATGTGCCAGAATTGCTGCATGCCTGGCCACCTAGGCTGAGCGGCATCATTATCCATCTGAGCTCCCTGGTAGGTCAGGACGTGGAGCAGGTGGTGCTCCAAGGGAGCTGCAGCAGGCTCTCCTCTCCCTGGCAGGTAACCTAAGCCCTGGGAAAACACTATTCCTGGGGTGGCTTTAGCCACACCTCCGCCCTCCCCACCCAGAGAGATGAGGGAAGGGGTTCCCACAGGGCGGCTGGGATCTAAGCTTGTAAAAGCCCCACCCTGAAGCTGTGGCGCCACATGGGACACTCCTAGTATTAACAGAGAAAGAGAAAGGCAGGCACAGAAGGAGGCTTGCGGACTTGTCTGTCATCAGCAGGGCCTCCACCAGCCCCCCTTGCACGGGGAAGTGTCCTGTCTACACCTGGCCATCAAGGGGAGCAGTTCCTTTTGGAGTTGCCTACAGCAGATTTTGCAGGCTGCCTCCTGGGTGAGAGGGAGGAAAGAGTCTTTCAGTGGAGAAAAAAAATCCCTTCTCATAATTACACTGAGAAAATGCCCAAAACAGCTAACACTCCTCTCCTTACAGAAGCACAGTTACATTTGCAACCTCCTACCAGCATCAACACTTCAGAGAACATACAGCCATTTAGGAAAACCTTATTCCCAAATTCTCACAACTTAAAGTCTCAGTTTTACTGCAGCCTCTTAGGAGTGCAGTTTCTGCCATCACAGAGTTGCAGTAGTGCGGAAGTTGTCCATGCTGAAGGATTCGATCTTCCAGGATTCTCAAATGGATCCAAGTCCTTCAAAGTGAGCAACACACTATTCTGTGGGCAACTCCACGTTCTGCAGGAAATTTATGTATTTAACCAATCTATGGACTGCTTGATTGTATCTTTAAAAAAATCTCAAAATGATTTGCAGCATGAAAGTTGCAGGGGCACAGCTCTGTGAGAGAGCACCTGCTTTGCATGCAGAAGCTCCTGGTTCAATCCTGAGCACCAGGAAGGGTGGGAAGGACTCCTAGCAAAATCCTGCAGAGCCACAGCCAGTCGGCACCAACACAACTGGGCTAGACAGACCAGCAATGTGACACTGTAAAAGGCAGCATCCTGTGATTTTGTTTAAAATGCAGAATGTCCACAGATAAATCATATAAAAGCAGGATATTAAATGCCTTTGTTAAGAATTTTTAATGTGACTGAAGCATTTAAAATAGAGCTGCATGGGTTCCTTCCAAGAAACCCAAAAGGAAGACTACTGTGCTCCCCACTGCCGTTACTGGGCTCAGCTGAGGGACTGGAGAACTCCCCTCTTCCCCAGCAAGCACAAGCAGCGTCTGTCCCGCCTCCTCCACAAGAGCAACGGATCAAAGCGGTACCGCCTGGGATCGCAGGCCTGCTGGTGGACTTACCAGCCGGATGGGTTTGTGGTGCAGGTCGGCCTCCTTGACGGGCTTCTCCTGGAAGGTGGGCACCAGGCCCCGATGGGCCAGGAGCTGCAGCAAGGCCGCATTCTCCTTGGGGGGAGGAGCACCATCTGGGCCCGGGGGCAGGGCCTGACGCCAGGCACGGCAGTAGATGTCCGAGGAGAGCAGCAGGCGGATTAGGGGAGGCTTCATGTGCTCCTGTTCATACTGGTCCGTGTAGAAGGGCTCCCGCAGCTCAGCAGGGACGTGCTCTGGAAGACAAAACCGTCCAACGATTTCTTGCACCCTTTCCACTTCCCCAGAATATATCACAGGTGGTTGGCTGCGCTGCGGACCCCAGAGCTTCCTGCCACCATCTCCATCCCACCTCAGTGAGGCACACTCAGTGATCAGGAGTTGAACTGGCAGGCAGGAGTCCTCCCGCTTCAAATTCCCACTCAGCCATGAAGCTCATCTCCAGCAGCCTGGGGCAAGTCCCCAGCTCGCCCTCAGTCTAACCGTTCTGTGCTGGACTGCTGTGAAAGTAAATGAGGCAGCCCCTACACACCGTGCTCTGGCTTCCCTCAGAAGAGAAAGGAATACACAAGTCACAAAAACTAACCTGCACCAAGAAAGGAAAGACCTTCTCTCTCTTTCCAGGGCCCTTCAAGCCCCGCGGTTCTTTTCTCTTCCCATTACCACAGACCGGCCTCCTGGGGGCTTGCTTACTTCCAGTCACAGAAGATGAAGGGCCTACCTTGCACAGCATTCAGGCTGTCAAGGCTACTCAGAGATCCCAAATAATAACAGAAATAGGTCTCCTTGCTCCTCTGAGCAAGAATCAGACAAGAAACAGAGACATCAGCTACCGCTCAAACTCTCAGCTGCCTGCGTGTGCCGCATTTCTTTAGGCCTGCCGCAACAGGGACCCACAGGGGCTACTGCTTGTTTGGGGCAGCAGCTGGGAGGCAATCTCGGATGGGCCCTGTTGGAAAGCATGCCAAGCACAAAAAGGGTTAAGCCAGGGAGCCTACGGGATGACCAGGCATCCCCTGGGTCCCCTGGTCGAGGGATGGTGGTGGATTCCAGCAAGAAAGCTGCCCAGCATTTTGGTTTTCTTATAATGCTCCAGAGCACTCGGCACAGAATCATTCTGGAGTGGTGCTGTGAGAAAAGAAGAACGCCAGACCGTTTCCAAGAAACAGCTCCTGCTGCCATATAAGCATGAGATTGGGCAGGCGAAGGACAGCTTAGCGTGACCGGGGAGAGCAGCCCCAGGGTGCTTTCTTGCAACCTGGAGCCTGCCCAGCCTCAATCAGAAGCTTCCACAGGTTGTCCAAGGAGGTGCACTCCCTGCTAGAAATGCCTCAGACCTTGTGTCTACATGCATAGCTTGAAATCCCAACATGTATATCACCCATTTTCAGTAATTAAACACACCTTGAGTTAGCAACGTACTGTTGATCAAGCTACATACGAAATGCAAGGCTGCTGAAGGCTGTTTCACTCTAATCCCCTTCCTGTCCAGACAGACGTATTGATTCCTTCAGAAAGGGGGTCAGGGGTCCCTACATGGGCCTCTCAATAATTTGGGAAACTGAGTGCATAGTCTTAAAGCTTGGGGTGGGGGAGCCAAAACGTACTGCATAAATTCATTGCCAGTTCATATAGCCTTGCTTTTCCTTTACTGGCACATCAAAGAAACCAATGGCTATCTAGAAAATCAATAAACGTCTGGGAACTTGGGCAGGTGTTCTTTTCCCAGACCTCTTTCCAGGCCGGGCAGGGGAATGGGGACAATGGGGAACAGCCACAGTATGGCTGTGTCAGAACCAGGAACAAGAACTAACGATCTTGATCACTTGCAGAATAATCTCTGCTTGTCCTCACAATACTGGAATTCCCACATCATAAAACATTTTTGCATGCAGACATGCACACTGGCACAGCATCCTTTGATTTGGCAACACTTGCAATTTGGAAATGAAAAGATTCTCTCATCCTTCACCTGCACCTCCAATGCAGACGCCCTGCCTTATTCAACATGCTTTGCCTCCAGCAAGAGGGAAGGAAGAAGGCAAGGAGCGACATAGCAGGATCACTGCCCCATTGGGCATCAGACAAGATTGAGTACTCCAACCCAAGACACACAGTGCAGAAGGCAAAGTCCAAGGTTCATGAGACGCCTCCACTGTGCATCCAGGTCACACATGCGAACACAACCCATCAGGCAAGAGTCAGGCTTACTGATGGCCACTGCCAGAGCTGGCATTCAACCCTAAGAGAAAGAACTTAATTATCTACCCTGGCACCATGTTTGACATCAGCATGCCCAGACACAGCCACCCACTCCAAAAATGATTTCCAGAGCTTCACCAGCACTACTCCAAGGGTCAGCAGAGCAAAGGAGTTGGGAATCTTGTGCGGAATTGTGGGGCTGCAAAAGGAGAATCATGTTTAATGGAGTCAGGACATCTTAGTTTCATCCTTTGCTTTGGAAGAAAAGCAGGACAGTCTTCCCCAAGCTGGTGCCCTTCAGATGTTTCAGACTACAACTCTCAGCATGCGATGGCCAGGTCAGGAAGGCTGGAGCAGGGAGCCAGAAGGCTGGCCTCCAACAGGCTCACAAATACAGATATTAAAGCCCAGACACGTCCTTGCTCTCAGGGAAACAGTAATGCCAATTGCCCCAGCCTCTGGCACTCTGGATAGTGAATGGCAGTAATAGGAAAAGCAAGATGATTTTGGCTCCAACAGAAAGTAATGCCAGGGCTTAGATGCACATGCTCTACCAGTCATTTCCTCAAGAGGTAAGGCCAGGAGAGTCAAGATCTACGTGTCAGCTCCTGCCAGTGACTTGGCTAGGAGGGATAGGACATTCCTGAGAGAGAGTGAGCAAGAGAGAGAGAGAGCGCACAAGAGGAACAGGTGGAACAGCCTCACCAGCTGATTCAGCATCACCTGATCACAACCACAAGTGCACGAGACCAGACTTGTGGCTACAATCCCAGCTCCTTCCCATCTCATGGCTCAGGGCCCAAACCAACAAGCCCATCCACCCATCCTGGCACAGAGCCCACCACACCCACCTCCAAGTGCACAGGGCATCCAGCACTGGGAACGTTCGGCATGGTGGGTGGGGGTGGAGGAGACACACAGAAACATTAAGGTATGCTTCGGTTGTGAACACGGCAGCTCCTGGACCCTCCCAAGAACAGCAGCCGCTTACTGTTGTGAAAGATGGGCAGAGCAGGCAATAACCCAGCCATGGGAAAACGGGCCACGGGCCAAGACTCAGCTGAAGCTTCTCCCCACAGTGAACACTGATGGATAGACCCTTCTTGCGACAAGCACAAAGTAGATCTTCCACCAGCCTTCCCCAGTGTGCTGCCTTCTGGATGCGCTGGACTGTAACTCCCATCACTCCTGCTGGCTAGGAAAGATGCGAGCTGCAATGCAACCCATTTGGAGGGCACCAGCATGGGGAAGCCTGGCCTACATCAAGCAGCACAAATCACAGAGGGGTGCAGAGAGAGTAATCGAGAGAAGAATGACTGCGCAGAGCATGCTGGTGTGTATCCTGGCCCCATGTCACTTTATGCGCCAAGCATTTCTCAGGAGCACCATGGCTGCTGGCAGTTGCTGCTGCTCCCAATTATAGCCAAGATTAGGTGCTTTGCTCTGCACAGGGAGCAAACCCAATCCTGCAAGCTAACAAAGCAGCTCCAGCAATTATCAAGGCAACACACTTGCCCTCCAAAGGAATGAACCATGGTGCGCTAGGGCTGAAGCAGTGCCATACAGAAAACCATTTGATTCTGGACCCAGTTAATACCCCACCTGTGCTATTTGCCCCCACCCCATTCCCAAGGAAGCATGACCTTCCTTTACTCATACTAGAAGGAAGCAGAGAAGAGTGGCCTCTGCAAACAGGTTTGGCCTCACAGCCGTCACCAGCCAAAACCAAATCCTGTCACCGGCCAAAGCTATTTGTACAGGCAATCCAAACAGGAAAGCTTGTGGCATGCTTCTGCCAAGACCTTGCCCTGAACCCATTTCTGCACTAATGCAAGTGAACAGAAATTAGCTTTTCCTGCAGCCAAGGAAGCCTCAACAAGACTTCCTGAGATTGGAAGTTTAGTTGTCCATGCCTTGGTGGAGACGGCACTCCAGCAGATAACTATGCGGGACTCAAAGGTTTGCTTTTATCTGGGGCCACTTCCTATAGACCCCCTGTAGAAGAGTCCCCCCCCAAATCCTCCAGTTTCATCAGGATATGCTAATACCTACCCATTCAGAAGGTGGTAGTGCAAGCCACAGAAATGGAAGAAGAAGGCAACTTGCAAATGGCATAGTTCCAAAGTGAGCTTCCCACAGCATCGCCTTCTCCAGCGCTGGATTGAGCATAATGCTAGGTATACTCTAGTGTAGGGGGCCAGACACTTGGAAGCCCTGCCAATGCAGGTCCTTGGGATGGGACTTGAATAGAAAACAAGCCTATCCTGCTCCTTGAACCAGATCTCAACAACTGAAAGAAGTCATCTCCTTGTCACAGCCTTCCTCACCCTGGCACTGTCCAGGCGTGTTGGACTACAATTCCTATTATCTACATCGTTATCACATTACCAGAAGCGATGGCCACATTCCCAGTTGCGAGGAAAACTTGAAAAGGAGAGTGGCCTGCTCAATACACAGCATGAATGCCCTTTCCACAAAGTGAATGGAGAAACGCCCCTGCTCAAGCGTAGGCGGGAGAGGGATACCAGCAAGAGAAGCACTGAGCCGAGGCAAAGTTCAGCACCAGCTGCCCGTGACAGTTTCATCCCGTGTGCTCTACCACACTGAACATCTGGCAAGCACAAAGGAGGAAAGCCAGAAACTGCAGCTAAGTAAAGACTACTGCTGGCGGTGTCCAAAAGGTCATGGCAAGGGCCCCTGAGGTCTGGCCCATCCACTCCAGGAAACGCTGCAATCGGTACTTAGCAACAAACGGGAGACCTCACCAGCACCCAAGACAAAGCAAATAGGATCTTTGCCTTATGGTTTGGCCTTGTGTGGCTGATAGGGCCAGGGGAGGAGGGAGGCGGGGTTAACCCTTTGCCCCTACCAAGATAGGAGTGAAAATCAGGGTCTCTCCACCTGCTATTCACCAGGAAGGAAAGCTTCAACTTGTGCCAATGCATGCTTACTTCCTGTCACAAGTGCAAGCCTGCAAAGGGGCTGGTTCTGAAAGGGGCAGGGGTAAAGGCACTCTTTGCCCCCATACCACAGT